AGGCTGATATTAGTTGTCGATTTGATTCAATTTATTTTGATAATGCGAATTTTATTCCAAGAGTATGCTATTTGTTTTGTGCTCGACTAAAACAATACCTCGATACTATATTGAAACGCATATATTTCATTTTTCGAATACAAATTAAGGTTCAACTTGAATTTTTCATAAGGTTCTAGGATTTTCAAAGCTCTTGAAAGAAGCTTTCTCTAGACGCTATACACACCATGTATAGTTTGGCAAACCTCTCATTTCATTCCCAACAATCCGTTGTATGTAGGCTACACTGTACAGGTCCAATTGTCGACCCACCTAGCGACTGTGATGGCTCAAGAAATCTTTCTTCTCTGGTTCATTTAGGGGTTTCCGTTGAAATTGAGGATCATTCAATGGAACTGCAATGTTTGATTACACAGTAAGAAGTTACCAGTACCCAAGTAGTTATCTACTGTTTAATCTTCTAAATTAACACAGTTTTCACTGGGGACATACTTTATGTAGGATATTATAATTTCAATGCTACTGCGCTTTGAAATATTAGAATTAAACTTATATGGATTTACAGAACCTGTCAGTAGATCTAATTGTAAAATTTGTGATTGTTTGCCTGTTCTGTTTGTTCATGAAATGCCAATCGTACCACCACTATTAAACATTTTGTTGCATTTGTCGTGTTAAATATTTGTTGTAAAGTTTAAATTAACCATAGAAAAGCAACTCAAGTGTTATTTACATGCTTAACTGGAAGGCGTTTGAAAATAGCATTATTAAAATACGAAACACAATTGTTACAATTTTAACTGCTGAAATGCAGGTCTAATGTAAACTAAATATAAATGCTATAAATATATAAAACATCAAGACTATTATGGTATAGTCCAATGGTCTATTGGCTGTGATAACATTCAACATTGCATTTTTAGGCTACGAATGAATGGTTATGGAAGGAGGTAAAATGTGACTTCTGAAAGTTGTGTGAATGTTAATTCATTTAACACAATAATTATATCAGTATTATCTGTAATAAAATTGAGGATTGAAGTTAATGTAACTCACCTAAGGTTCAGTTCAGAAATGTGTTGCTCTCAAATTTACATCATTAGTCAAGTTTTCAACACTTCCATCGATGCTGCAGTTTTGGTGTGAATATTCTTAGCAACTCTCAACATACGTACACAAACATGAAATAATAAAAGTGTATTAGGGTTTACTCAAATTGAGAAAATGTTTCATTTCATATTTCTATAAATATATATATCTTCGTTTCTGTCAGTTTTAAGCTAATGCATATTAATTGTATCCTTATTGACCACATCTTCTTTAGATCTTTAGATGGTAATTTGTAAAGGTAGCTGATTCCTTAACTGGCCGCCAGAGATATACCACCCCAATGCCATCTGGTGGTAAACCCCTTGGAACTATTGCAGGCCCAATGTAAACAAAGCAATATTTTGCATTGCGAGAGTTCTGTTTTATACAGGTTATTCAATTTAATCAAACTTCTGCTATCTTTTATATAAACTTTAAAAGCTACTTAACTTTTTACTATTATATTTATTAAACTCATAGGAAGTTTTTTTTACTAAAATACATAAAGTGTAAATAATTGCATTTGCCTCTCGCAGGGATGTAAGTGAATTAATACATCCATATGAGAGTAATTATTTTTGTTTTATGTGTCCTAGTCCATCTATTTGGTGTGTATCCCAATCTTTGCCAAGCTGTGACTCGACTCGCCCGGGTCGAGGAGCGGCTTAAAAATAATAATGATAATTTAGAGAAAATAACATAATATACCGTACGTGTATACTGTCTCCTCCAGTCTCTAGTCCAATCCCACTCCTGCGTTAAATCTGAGACAAATAATCTTTTATTTTAATTTCTGACGTTTATTTTAGCATTTAAATTTAGTAATCTTTTTCAACAATATTTCCTTTAGAAGTCACAGTTTACATTTATAAAGCATAATTTCCCCAACTCGTAACATAATACAACTGAAGGTAAAATATGAAAGATTCGGAAGTAAACATATCACACACATTAGTCGACCTCTTATGTCTCTAAGAGATATCCTTTGACAATAACTTAGAACAAACATCAATTATTTTTATAATGCAAACGTTTAACTGGAAATTTTCTCTCAATAAAAAAATAGATAATATTTAACATGAAATCTGATGACAATACGACGTGGTAAAGTAATCCAAATTTCAAAATCCAGAGAGATTTGAGTTTACAATTTGGATAACAAAATATTTGATTTAATTTAATCAACATATTCATAATGGAGGGACTTAAGTATCCAATATCTAGGAATAACTTATCGTCTAATATATCTATCCTTGTTTTGTTTTCTTGATACTGTAGATGTTTGGATCTAGTGTAGGGTGATGCCCAACACATAGTATTACGACCTTATTGATATTACTAATCAAATAAATAGATTACGTTATTATTACGCATCAAATTTACCAAATTTATTTCTTTGTCGTCCAACTTCAAAGTCTCAAAATAATGTATTGCTTCCTAACGTTTTACTTCCTTCTGTAAATTGTTGTGTGCTAAGTTTGTATTGAAAACTACAAAACTGAATACATTTCGAGCGATTTGTATTGCTTTAGATTTAGTCCTATTAACATTAATTGAACAATTACATTCTATTTATATGTAGGCTATTGCTCTTATATCAACACACCATAGACGTGTACTTACTGAACCAAATAGTACAACGTAGCCGTGTATATCCACACATTTGACGTGACGTGACAATCTCTTACCACAGATGAACATTGCGAGGTCAGATCCCATGTCTTCCGGGTTGAACAATCTTCTTAGGAGATGACAGATCCACTTGTTTATACAAAGAAGTTACTTATATAGGCATATTTTTGTTAAACTATGTTTCCTTGAAATTACTGCGTGCATTGATTGAATTAATATAAATGCAGTTTTCAATATCCATGGTAACGAAAATAAATCGGTTGTATGAAAAACTATGGCAAAAGCGGAAATAGTTATTTGTGTAACTAGTGGTGAAAGTGGCACTTTGCTGCACACGAGAGCAATGTTTACGCAACAGCCGCAGGCGAGTGCTGAATGATCTCGAGTGCAGCAAAGGCCTTTTTCACTCGTGTTACACATTATATTTTTCCTACAGTCACTATAAAGTATATAAATAATTAGTCTTTCAAACACTATACATCAGGTTTTTAGGTTCAGCTGGCGACACAAATGGTGCCCTGGTGCCCTAGAGAAAGTAGTACCTGCGGTCCGTATCACTCCGCTATTTTTCCTCGGCAAGAAATGTACTCCGCGTTTTGAGAATATAGTTCCGTATGTTTTTCTAATTTGAAGTGGTTTCCTCGCCTAAAAAAAGCTTTAAAGGTATTTTCTTGTTTATTAAGGTCGTAGGAATGTTTTAAAAACGTTTAAAAGAAAAGTCCAGAAAGTTCAGAAATACCGAAACTATAAACAGGAAATGACAGGTTAAATCGTAGTTATAATAGTCAATCAGCTGCTCATAGTATTTTTATCTTTAAGTGTTGCCAACCTATTTCCAAGCGTACACGGATTACGTGAATAATAAAACCACGCTGTTTTGTGTTGTTTCGTTGGAATCCTGATGTGCGGCAAAGTATAAACCGTACGGCAAAGTATAAACCGTACGGCAAAGTATAAATATGCAGCAATTAGCAGCTTTCTGTACTATAAACAGTACAAGGAAGCCAACTTTGTCGGGTGACTGTAGGAAAACAAAGATACAACAATGATTCGAGGACACATTTAAGTTGATGAGTTAGTAATTCAGTATTTTTTGCAACCGTATTAATAGAAAACCTGTCAAAATTTCAATTGTGATATAATGACACGTTTTCCATGGTAAAATAATTAATTTAGCGTTCAACTAAAGCAAATTAGTTACCACCCGATACTTTATTAACTGCTCTAAGTGACAGATCTTATAGACTGTATAATTATAAGTAGGTTCGGTTTGGTTTGGTTGGATTAGGATAGGTTACGTTAGGTTAGTTTAGGTTAGGATAAGATATGTAAGGATGAGTTTTGTTTTCTTGGCGTAACTCATTAAAAAGTTAATTGGTGATGTCCATACTTTTGCCCAGCCCTGTATATGTGAATAAACATAAATATATAATTGAGGTATATTACTAAATAAATATTCAAAAACATACAACGGGTCTCATTTCATTCTGATTAAACATGATAAAATGGGAAGCACATGCGTGCGTAACATCCGTGACAATTTTCTGTGATCACAGAAACGACCGAGATTATTACTTGCTATCACGGAAACGCCTAAAAATGGAGAATAGTCGTAAGAAAAGTACCGATGGAAAAGTACCTGCTTCTGTGTAGTATGGTGTAAAGGCCATTTCACAGTAGTGTAGCAAAAAAGTAATGTTTTTGTTTAGGCCTAAATGGGTGCAAAATTGATAGCAACACACTTCAAGAAACAAAGTAGGTCCAAGGTACCGGCTCTTAATTGATTAATTTTTGTTTCTACAAACTGTTGTCGAAGAAGCGTGGCTTTCTTTCTTGTACTTTTTTTCATTTTCCAAAGCACCGTTGATTGCTAATCATGTGTCTAATTGTGATTCCTCAATGGCACTGAGAAACGCAAAAATATTCGGATGCGGTGAAGAGCAAGATTTGTTAAATTAGCAACAAGGGGTTTGGACTAGGTCAAATAACGAAAGCTGTGATGTTTTGTTCACCAGAAGGCGCCCCCTCGCCTACCTGGACTAGTGCTGGCGCAGTAAGGGCGTTTGCTAAAGAGGGATTATTTAGACCTGGCGCAGTCCTGGTCTACCCAGCTAGGTATATTCCTAATCTATGATGTCAAGATATCGAAAGGTGGTCGGGTTTGGTGGGCCTACGTCAACATCCTTGCAATAGCTCATCTTCAAAATCAACTCTACAATAATTGTAGTATGGCAGGCAACAATCACTTATGTCTAATCTCCTGAATAATTGTTTTCCAGACTTGGCCGTTCAGTTTCCAACAGCCTGGAACTCCAAGTAATCCTCCCCTTCGGCCACCCTGGGAGCTGTCGCCTCCGCCCTCACGGCCCACCAGAGGGGAGGAGCCCCTGGACTACCCCGTCACATACCCTCAAGGATATTCCGACCCCCTTGCACAGATGGGGTAGACATGTTGTTTGTGTATATACGGAATGTGCAATACTTAGTTTCATTGTTACCGGTACTGTGTAAAGTAAAAGAAGAGATACAATTATTTTTCTTTCAGGTTTAAAGTCTGTAAATAAGACAAAACCCGGTAATTTTCATTTTTTTAATTCCTGAACAGGCTAAACTTACACCCTACAACTTAATCGTAGGAATGGGATGTATAATAGTCTACCAAAGGTTTAACTGGAAACAGTGTTCAATGCATAGAAAACGCGAGAACAATCTAAATTAAAATACAGAGTGTTTTTAACATCCCAAATAGTTTCCTAGAGACACTTTTTAACTAAAAAATGTTCATATGGTATAATTGTTTTCATTACTTCATTGCCTATCAGCTGAAATGCATCGTTAAAGTTATCTGTAAGGTTGGTGTTATTGATAATTTATCATGTAAATAAGTGATACTAATGTTGTTTCACATGCTCATACAGACTCCCAATAACACTTAATGGATAACAATGCAACAATGCATATCAGCTGATTAGTAATGACATAAAGACAGTGATACCAAAATGTGAGCATGTTTTGTCGTTACAAGCTCACATTTTGGTATCACTGTCTTTATGTCATTGCCAATCAGCTGATATGCATTGTTGCATTGTTCGAGAATCTTATGGTACTTGTAATTTGTGTTATGTGTTAAACACTCTGTAGTAAATGTATTAGAAACGCGGATACTGTAAATAATTTCGTTCAATTTGTAAATCTTTTGGGTGCTTCCGGTTTAAAAATCTAAGGCATGTTTCAATGAATGTTTCATGCCTGGCTACGTTTAAGCAAGTCGGTGTTGCCTAAATTCATTTAGTTTAATTTTAGGGTCAATTCGACAGTGTCCTTTCTTTCTATTTGTGATATCAGAGGACAAATAACAGTTTATTTTACTTTTTCAATAGTCTCAACATTTATCAAATACGTAATTAATAGTACAAATCATCGCAAGTTAAAGTATATCGAACAAAACCCACAGCTTAAAATTGTCTTCAGCTAATCCACAATGTAAATAAATTTACCAGGAAGTATGTGTAATCTATGGTAATATGTTTAGGCTGTTCTTTATGACGAATTGAGCTAGAATTTCAAGATGCTTTGATTAGTAATGTCACACGCTGTTCCTTGATCAATCTTTTGTTATTATAACCATCAATGGGAGAATTGAGTAGTATGAAATATGAGTTAAAGACTGCCTTCGTATTTAGCCACTAACTTGTACAAATTATTTATATTTTATGCTAGTAGTATGAGTAAGCTATATACTGTCTTTATAATTATAACATTAAAAAGTGTAGCAATTCTGTGAACGAGAACGATATTAACAATGTAAAATAGTATATACTGTATGTTGTTAATTTAGTTATGTTTACCTACGACCGTTTTTTAAAGTAACAGTTTCAGTTCAGTTCTTACAATTGAAAAGTATCTCATAACAGTATAGTTTTACTCATAACAACACGGGTAACGGATCAATGAGGTTCAAGGATTGAGAGAGAAGAAGTAAAGTTGTAATGATTCAAATAATCAGCTGTTCAGGCCAGTTTAATTGTTTAATTGTTGAGTGGTGTGGTGCAATTAATTATAATAGTGTTTGGTACAGTTTCGTTGCATGTTGCATCACTGTCAGTGGCAATGAGTGATAAAGGAAAACATAACCTTTCGTAGAAGTTATGAGTAGTGATTTGTAGTAATTTAATCACTGTCGTAGGTGATTTCCGTAAACTACTATTTCCATACTAGTTTTCTGGTAAAATGTTATTCAGCTTAATTAATAGTCTATCACCAATTTTGTTGTACAGAAAGTATAAAAAGATGTACTTGATTTAATATATTTATCTATAAAATATTACCATAGGTATCCTTAGATTTCTTTATTTTTCCCTTTGATTTTAAATCTTATTAACATTATATTTCTTTCAATGTTAAAAAATAATCGAATTGTGAAATTTTAAAGACACATTAAATAATCTTTACCATTAAAGGTGTCATTAGGAACTTAAACATATGGCCGCCATTTTTAATTTGATATTCAATTTGCAAAAACTAATTTATTTTATTGATCAATATAAAATCAAAATACCAATGTGTATTTTGGATTTAAAATTGCTTTAAATTTGAATCGGTGTATAATAAGTTTTATTTATTTATTTTGTGTGTTTTTACACCGATGGCATTTTTTACATTATAAAAGGGAAAGTTGATTGAACTACTAGTTTTTATGGAATTTGACTTTGCAAGTTCGCAAATGCCGCCATTTTGGAGTTTATATCGGACAATGTTGATTTTTTTAAAGATAGAACTTCTATACATACAGAGTTTCACAAAGATCTGTTAAAAAATTTAAATAGGTACCCAAATATTTATCAAAAATATATATTAGATAAGTATATAACAATGAGTTTTTTGGAAAATATCATACTCGGTTTTATCATTATTTGGCCCAAAACAACTTCCAGGGGTTTGGAATTTTACTCTGGAATTTTACCCTGTACAAAAAACTCTATAAACCAAATGACCTACTGATTGTTTAGTTGGGGTAACTTACTATTTGCACCGCATTTTAATGGGGAGGTCCTACCCTTAAACACATGTTGACCGGAAATGAAAATGCACTTGTCAAAATAGGAAGATCTGCCAAAACAGGGTTTCAAAAACAAACATGGCCTGGCCCTGATGGGTGGGATCTTGTATCCGTCTTCCAATGACAGACACTTCTTCACCAAATTCCATTCTGAAATGTGCAAAAATAAGACAAAAAAGTAAAATCGGGATCGTAAAATGCCCTATTATCTTTACAATATAATTTGACAATACATTCTAGCTTAATGCCCGAGGTTTTAAATTGAACGAGGGCAAATACAATACTTTTCACATGTGAGACAAAATTTGTCATTGGCATATGAGACAAAATTTGTCGTTTCACTGCTCCACTAAAACAATTATTTCAAACATTGTTTTATTGTTTACCTTTATGAATAAGCTTCCAAAATTATTATGTTTACCTTGTTTTACTTTCGTATGAACAAATGTTACCGGTATCAAAGAAAAAACACGTATACTCCGCCAACCAACACAAAAATAAATTATAATTTGTCTGAATGTCGGCAAAGGGCCAATGTCAATGTCTGAGTAGAAAAACATAAAACATGGGCTATTAAAGTTGAAAAAACACGATGATTGACACAAAACGTTGATAATGAACGTAGCAACCATATTTTACCATGTAGGTTAGCACTTTTCTTCCATATAGGCAGCAGCACTGAGCTATAACTATAACTGGAGTCACCACTGTTTTAAAGCGTACCTACCACTGTTTTTACAGTATTTCGTAGTGTTATGCTGACCATGGAAAAGGCGATTTGAGGGGAAGATCTCCTACTACCTTTTATTGCTTAATTACAAGTAGCAGCTGACTGACGTTCCGAGAAACCTCAGGGGTTGTTTTAGAGGCAGGGTAATGTGAAGGGATTTTCACCCCCAAAACCAAATAAATTTAGTGAACATGGTGTTAGTGGGGATTGAATTAATTGTGAATAAAAATGGTCTTTAAAAGTATGCAGATCCAAGATCAGATTGACGATGGAAATTATCCATTTAATTCTAGCACCGAAAAAAGCATTTTCCGGTGCCCGTTCAAGTTCCATCAACATTACATTTCACGTCGAGGCGAATTCAAGCATTTGAGAGTTATTTTCATAAACAAGAAGTCGAGAACGGTAATTGCTGCTGGCAAAAGTGCTGGGAGCTGGGAAGTCAATTTTGGTACAAGTTGCGAGGTACTTTTCATCAAGACGCAACAATTCTTACACAGATCTCAGTAAAACTAAAAATATTTCCCCCCAATTAACATGTTTAAAATTTAAATACCCCCGCCGCAGCAAACCTGCCGTCTAAGCGAATTTCCATTTGGCTAAATTGATTTTCAATCGATCTATTTAAATAACATTAGGTTTAACGAGTACCTAGGTTTGCTGCTACAAGGAAACTAATAAAGTGTGTATTTTAAGTAAAATAATTATTGCTTAGTAGAAAATGAATACATTTGCCAAGTTTGATCAAAAGATATCCATAAACAAGCAAACTACAACATTTTAAAATATTCTCCATAAGAATAACATGGGAATTTTAAATTTACAATTTTTTTAGTTTTCTCCGTAACCAATAACCGTACAAAAACACTTTGATATACTGAATTGTTTGTTTTTTTAAGCTCTTTAAGAAGGTTTAGAGAAAAATCGGGAAATTTTGTGTTTTGACGGTCAAAAGTGAGAAAAACCAATTTTTACCCCATAAAACCCCCCATAAAACCCTGTTCCCATGGTCCGATCATGCTGGATCGCGAACTCATTCAAGTTTATCCCGCCTTACACCTTCAAACCAAATTTCATCAAAATCGGATAAAAATTACTCAAGTTATCGTGTTCACGGACACATATATATATAAATCTATATATATATATATATATATATATACATATATAAAAATTTGAACGAATGGTGTTTTTGGCCTCTGGGGACATCAAAATGAAAAAGTAAATCGGTCCCGGGCCTAAGTCTTACCATGAGACCTACGGTAATATCATTTTTAAGAGTTGTTAGCCTCCGGATTACGTTTGAATATTTATAATGGTTTAAATACCTGCATTCAGTAATCCATCATGCTGCTACGGTAATAGCTACTTCCCTATAGGGAAATTCGCTAAAAAGCAAAGAGGTTATAAGAAAAAAAGTACATTACGTAAAAATTATTAATTAAAGGCCCTATTTTTCATTGCACAGAAAACACACAATGCAAGCTAACGCCAGCCATGGGCGTGGGCGTTCATCCACATGGGCTAGGGATGGAAAGAGCCTCCCACCCAGGGCTATAGAATACGTTCTATTCTGTAGACCCGCTCCCACCTATTAGACCCCACTTTAACTTAAAAATTTCAGATTGTACAGTAAAAACAAAAATGTTAAATATACCAGGAGAAATCCAAGAGGCAGACAACCCCTTGGAAAACCAAAGCTGAGATGGTTGGACAAAGAGGAAAAGAAGACAGGGGAGTAAGACACTCCCCTCAATAAATTTCAGTTGTCTATAACTTTGGCTATTACTACTGTATTCTTAATGAATGTGTAAATAAAGTTTAATTGTCTATAACTCAATAGGATAAAGTAAGAGTATAAGTATAGGCTACATGATGTTATGCACTCAAAATGATTTACGATATACAATTGCTCTGCCATGAGAAATGGCTTAACATGGTGGAAACAAGAGTATTCACTTCAGTTTTTTTTGATTGGTTGCATGACATTTTCTTGGAGTCAGTAAGGGCACAAAGCTAAGTTTACATCTTCTATCCAGCAAGGTAATTTCTAGTAACCCCTGCAGCACTGTCTCTTCAAGCTCCTGCTCCTTGGAGCCTTTACTTGAGGTCAGCCCTGGTAGCTCAGCTATTTTAATTCAATAGTTTACTACTTCAGAACACTCATTATACTTTTTTGTGGAATGATTATTATTAATTTCTGTGATCCCAGTAAAATTAATTACTTAATACTACAAATACTATCCTTGTTTGTTGGGCAATCAATTTAAACTATATTGTATGAACTGTAACTGTACTAACAGATATCATAGAAAAAGTTTTGAAAAGAAACTTTTAATATAATGGACATTTCATTTCAGATAGCTTTCCCCCCATGAATTCCATAAATTTTTCTTATTTTTACTTAGATAAACGAACCTGTTGTCTAGCAGATGAGTTGGCTAGTGATTAATTTAATAAAAATCTTTAGAAGTAAAAATTAACTAAGATTGCACAAAAAAGTCAATTAATTATATAATACATTCATACTGAGCAAGTTCATTAGAAAAATGCCAAATCAAAATTCTTAGTTTTTCAAAATCAACTGACTTAGGTACTGAATTAATGTTCTACTAGTGAACCTGTGCGGCTCAATGCCCCGCAAAATAACATATGAATTTAGAAAACAAATTCATCGTGTTATATATTGACTCGACGTCGAAAATTAAATACAGTAATAATAAAGCCTTAAAAGCGAAGCAGTCCAGCCATTTTCTAGCTGAATGTGTATTATATTTAGTAAATTAATAAAGTGTTGAAGTTCAAGTATGTTATAGGGAAGTTATTTTTTAAAGATTTTTAAAAACAGATTCAACAAACAATTTGATCATATCAAACCAATACACAATTTTGTTTGTGTAGCATATTTTGAGGGCCATAAAATGCTGCTTGAAGAAAACACTTAAAAAAATAAACACTACAAAACAAAATTTTTTTTCACAAAAGCACTTCCATGAATACTACGATTTTAGTCATAAAGTTACCTTCAGGAATATTACCCTGGTCAGAATTTTCCGTAATAAATATGCGTATCCTACTAATAGATGTTGCCTTACTTAAAACAACATATAATATTACTTTTTTGCACGATTACTTTTTGGCCGAGATTTTTATCGAGACGAGAATAAAAAAAAATTAAAAACGCCTGCAGAAAGTCAATGCAATACCCGCAATACAGGAGCGTGTTGTAGTTGCGTTTCCTTTTCGAAGGCGTTCTTATTTAATTAATTCTTTTAATGTAAATATTACTTTAATTCTTTTAATGTAAATATTACTTTCATTATTTTAATAATATTACTTTAATAACATTTGAGAAGTTTTGTTAAGTGTAAGCAGTGTGAGGAATGTTTTATTACTATAAAAAAAGTCAAAACAAGTAACTATTTTATAAAAATTAATATTGCTTTTATTTTATGATTTAATTTATTTTAGGATAAGTTGAACTCTATCCTAACTGATATCACCATGTTTCCTAATCGTAGGCATTTTTAATAAGTTAGGCGTGATTAATAAAAAAATGTTATGCTGATGTTATTTAATGAAAGATTGTAAATATTCTTGCCTATTATCATTATATTAGTATTTAAACAGTCATCTAACAATGTTACAAAATCAGGTAAAAATTTCGAACGTGCATTTCCCGTTGTGTATGAGAAGAGAAATCTCGTCTCGAAATTTTATGAGAAATAAAAAATCTCGTCTCGTCTCGTCTCGAACTAAAAATCCAATCTCGTCCATCCCTACACTGAAATTGGTCTGGGTAAGAACAGTGCTGCTCTTTAATTAAAGTGCTTGTGCTGCAAATGCCAAAGATAACAGAAATTAGCATCTTTCCATTTTAAAAGGTAAGTTTGTTTCAGACGGGCAAATTTTTATCCTCGAAATCAAAATATGTCCCAACTCACTTGTTCCAGTTAGGACTTTTCATTCTATTAAGTTGTTGACCGTTCTGATCACATGAAGCCTTATCCCATTAATGAGGCCCTTTTTGATGTATTAATATTCCTCATCAATAAAACCACTGCCCCCTTTTTTAGTCTTATCTGTGTCTTGGCAAGCCACTGACCTCTATTTTATATTTAAAAACTCAGTTGGATTTTCTAGATGGGTGTCTCCGCCTTCGTCTGTTTTCGAGGACCCGCTCTTCTTTCCCTTGGTATACTGACAATAAATTGTCTATAAGTCCATGTAGTACTGTTCATTAATACTGTTAGTTTATAAAGAAAATGAGATAAAAGTTACTTGGCTTAGTGCTATCATAACTGCAAACTCAAAATACACCCACAAGTAAAAAAGAATCAAGTTATTGGTTAAAAAAAAATTATGTTCGTGTAACAATATTATTCACATGAAGTAGATGATTTGTTTGATTTGTTGATCAGCTGTTTAGTTTCAAATGAATTAATATCGTCAAAGATTTGTGATTTAAATACATAAATTATTATATTAAAGTTTTCTAAATCATGGTAACTTATTCTCAACTGAATTTTACCATTCCCAGCATTAAAATAAAGTAGTAAGATCCATTATGAGTAAGCTTTAAGGTACACAATCCTAGATTGAAATGTAATATACATTAACAGTAGCAATTATTATGTAGTAGACTTTGACTATTTTCAAGAAACAAACATATGTTTCTGTAAATAAAAATTATCTCCCATGTTATCCTTATGGAGAAATACGAAACTTTAAAGGGCCCCAGGGCCTCACTCTCTAATTATTTCCCTAAAAAGAAAGTTTCCTGCACAACTTCAAGTTACGCTCTTTCCAATGACACCAAAAACTTGTCAATTGGTTCAGTAGTCTCGGAGGAGTAATTGTCACAAAAAACCTGCTTGCGTATTAAATAAGTATAGATAAAACATTAAATCATACATATTTTTGGCACTAAAGGAGTTGAGGATTGAAATAACAAAACGAACTGTGGTTATTAATATATGTTATTCTATATAATACTGTATTACATACAAGAAATGCACTTTTCGGAAACTGACAGAAGAGTCATACTACGCCTAAGGACTGAAAGTTTCAAATCTATACGCTCTACACCAGACGTAGGCACTCTTGGTGCAAATCGTACAGAACTTCCAACATATACATCCATCATTATCACAAGGGTCGTAAATATTATCAAACTACAAATAGGATTTCTCTTTTTGTCATGGTAAAAAAAATCTGTTTGCGCAGTCCCTCACTTACTGTTACTGGCGATTTTTGAAATCCAATAGGACGTACAAACTCCTACTGTTAAACAGATGACTAATATTTAAATTATTTCAATGAAATAACAATTGTTCACATTACAAATCTAGTATTTGAAAAGAAATTACTATTTTCATACTAGGAACAGGCCGATACCTGAGAACAGTGAATTTAGTATCTTTTGTAATATCACAATAGATCTGAGTTTCTAATGATCCCTGATACAGAATATTGCTAGAGTTATCCACCGTTATTGCATATCTGCGCTGCAATAGATGAACAGGGTGTATTGAAAATCACAAATGACTGTAATCACTAAGAAACAAAAGACTTAAACTGAGATTTAAACAAAATTCTAGAATACCGTAAGACAATGTAAATTGAAAACAAAAACACAACCTCTGGTTTAAACATAGATAACAACATTCAACAGAATGTAAAGACATGATATCGGCCTATTCATATGTGTAAACAGACAACCTCACTATATAGCGCTTATTAACTATTGATACTTTCCATGAGAAAGGTAGGCGGAGAGATATTACCTCCTGGATCATTGTTGAACCGTATAGACTTATCCTATATCACTAACTAATGCGAATCCATCTAGTACAGAATACAATAAACTCTCTCAATCCAACAAACAAAAAGTTAATGAGCAAAACAAAAACAACGATTAGCGGTGCTCATCATAATTTTGTACAAAAAATAACTTTATATAAACTCGCTGAACGACAAGATTCTCGTTCTTATTCTGTACTAAACTTCCGTTTTTTTCGTTTAACGAAAGTTTTACGATAATAAAAATAGTCTATTCGCTCTTAATCAGCAAGATCAGTCTTTAAGGAAAATATCACATACAGTATCGACACTTATATTAAAAGATCAGAGTTGTGTATCAAAATACCGTGGCATCATTAGTGTTTGGTTCAAAACCGACCTTTCTCTTGGATCCGCAACTTAAGTTAAAATTATTCGCTACATATCACAGTTAAAAGTGTAATTGAGGTCTCCTCGTGAAAAAACGCTCGATAAAATTAGCGTTCTCGTTAATAAAATATAATTTACACGTTATATAGAACTAACTATGTACACGACCCTTGAGGGTTGACAGATCATATAGAGGGTTAAGGAACATTTTTGGATCCAAAGAACCTTATGACTAAACATTATAACACAAAGATTAAAACAATACTGTATCGCAAAAGCGAAATCTCGATATAACAGACAACTAATATTTATTTAGCACTGGAAAGAACGTGACATCTCGTAACAGCACAAAAACGTCCGCTCAAAATACATATCGCGAAAGAAACTTTCCGACAACATCGAGATCGGCTCGTCGTTCTCCCAGCACTGACTAAATTTACACAAAATTAAATTCTGCCGATAATAGAAATTATAAACACTCGAGCTCCCAACCCTCCCCCCTTCTGAATGTTTCGTGCATTTCAAAGAGCATACAGAAGATTTATCTACCGACAATAATTATTACAAGTGATGGGAAACTAAATGTGGAATGTGGCTTCTGGATATATTACAGAGCCGTATCGATAAAACAACAATTTGGCTTAGAGTTCCCGAAGTATAAGTGCATCGTCAGCCCAAACACCGATTATAAAACTTTAAACATGAAACACTACTAACAACATAAAAACCGGCTACACAAAAACAAAACTAAAACCAAAATGTGTAGTAGATTATTGTTGGACAGCCTGAGGCTGACTGAACTGGTAGGTGTAAGGCATGGCGGGTTGGTACTGGGCTGCGTATCCGCTCTGGTAGGCGCAAGGGTTGGCCGGAGGTGGGCGGTTGGGTTGGAAAAACTTGTGGTTGATGAGACTCTGCACCCCGGCGTCGGAGTTGTGTTGCAGCATGTACGGGGGAGGGACTGTGAACATCCCCTGATGTTGTCCGTTCTCTACGTAGTTCTGCTGCCTGTTGAACCTCTGTCCTTGGTATCCGCCTCCGTTTCGAACCTGGTTTTGTCCATAACTGTTTCTGTTCTGCCCGAATCCGCTGTTACCCTGGTGCTGACCTCCGTAAGCTCCCTGATGGTATCCGTTCTGAGGGAACCCATTCTGCTGCCCGAATCCGTTCTGGTGGCCGTAGGTGTTGGGATAAGCGTTAGGTGTGAAGCCATTGTGAGGTGACTGGTAGTTCTGATAGTTCTGTCCGCTCTTCTGATGGAAGCTGCGAGGTGTCTGGTTGGTAGAGTTCTGCGTCGGCTGCTGGTAGCGGTTGTGTGGAGAGCTGCTCTGTCCGCTGGGTTTGAACTCTTGAGCCTGAGCTGCAGACACAGCATTCCAAGTGTTGCTGTTGACATTGCTTCGGATGTTTCCGCTGTTGTCCTTGTTGCGGTTGTTCCATCTGTTGCGAGCTGCAAGAAAAAGCCATTAATAAGTCACAGTCGTGGGTGCTCACAAGCATAACAATTACTCAGTTTTTTAAGTGCAGTCAAGTGTAATATTTAGCTGTTGTTATTGATGAAACATTATAATCAAACTGGCTTAAATTATTATTTAACAGAAATTTAATCTGCCTGCATAAGGCCTACACATCAACATTTATTATGAATAAAGAAAATATAGACACAAATCAATTATAATGATTGAATATTTATTATTTGTGATCAAAATTCACTGTCAAAATTAAACTTTACTTCCTTGAAAACACACTATACAATTTAAAAAAAATATTCTATAATACGATGTTTATAATTACTTTATCCATGCACTTAAATTTCATTCACTAACATTTAAAAGTATTGGAGAGAAGACCTAGGAACTGCAGTTATTTAACGAGTTGCATATAAAAAATCTGAAAAGTTGGTATACAGGTCCATTATAATCAAGCCACAATCGGCAACAAACAAGATTTCAACAATTTACTTACCGCTGTAGTTGTTCTTGGCAAGAGCGGCCAGTTCAATCAGCTTAGGGTTGACGTCCTGCTTGGCTTCGGACAACACTGCAATGAGCTCCTTGGCCTGACGCTGGTTGTTAGCGGTGAAGAAAGTGTACGCTGTGCCGGCCTGTTGGCAACGACCTGTGCGTCCAATGCGGTGGATGTAGTCCTCTGATGAGTTGGGGTAATCAAAGTTAATGACGTACTTAACATCTTCCACGTCCAAACCACGGGCGGCTACGTCAGTCGCCACCAGGATCGGAGACTTCCCGTTCCTAAACTCGGTCAACACGTAGTCTCTTTCTTGTTGCGACTTGTCACCGTGGATTGAAATAGCTTGCCATCTGCAAAAAAACAAAAAATCTGAGTAGGCCTATCAACTACTATGTAATATATCAGTTACTTTCATGTCACAGTAGGCCTAGTGGTTTACGTACGGGCCGGACGTTATACTTCAGGACGGGTAAAAAATTTGGGCCTTCGTGTCTCAAACCAGGTAAGTATTAAATTTTTCAAGTAGGTATTGATTTAGTTCTTCAGTCTGTTTATACAATATTATAAATTATCTCCACCATCACAGTGAAATCAAGAATGTCTTCCGAGGTCACGGTGAATAAGTCAGCATCTACAGCAACGGAAAAACACAATCTTTTGCAATCATATACAGCCACACCAAAATATACACCATCTTTTGCGGTCCCCCCCAAATCATGAACACAGCCTGCCGTCACGGCAAAACTATGAGCATCACCTCCAAACACAGCAGAGGCGTCATTTTGCATCTTCACAGGCGCTTTATGTGATTGCAAAAGTAAGAGGTCCAACAGTTGTTTCCAACCCAAACCAATTCCTCGGGTTAACTCTAGCCTGACTCAAGCAGATAACACCGGGGACCCACAGACCCCTTGATTGTTGAACTACACTGTGTACACCTGTGAGTTGCAACTCTGATGCTTTAAAATTTTAGCAGTTTTATATATCAAAGCCTGGACCAGAAGATAATCTTTCTTACTGAGCTTTCTTTTAGAAAATTCTGTCAGTGACAGTGAAATGATGTACTATCTTCTAGGGATGGACGGGTCCCGAAATTTCGGGAATTTTTCGGGAAAAAAATATTCCCGATTATCGGGACGGGATTACATTTGATTCGGGAATTTTTCGGGACGGGATTTGGTCCGATCGCCGGCGATTTTGCCGCTTCGCGAGTGCCGATGACGCCGCTATTGCGAGCGATAGGTCCGCGAACGCAGGAGACGAAGTCGTTTCGACGGTAGCGCCGTGACCGCGGAGTCATAACAACGATCGTGCCGTGACCGCGGAGTCATACCGACGATCACCCCGTGACCGCGGAGTCATACCGACGATCACCCTGTGACCGCGGAGTCATACCGACGATCACGCCGTGAACGCGGAGTCATACCGACGATCACGCCGTGACCGCGGAGTCATACCGACGATCATGCCGTGACCCCGGAGTCATACCGACGATCGCGCCGTGACCGCGGAGTCATACCGACGATCACGCCGTGACCGCGGAGTCATACCGACGATCACGCCGTGACCGCGGAGTCATACCGACGATCATGCCGTGACCACGGAGTCATACCGACGATCGCGCCGTGACCGCGGAGTCATACCGACGATCGCGCCGTGACCGCGAGTCATACCGACGATCACCCCGTGACCGCGGAGTCATACCCACAATCACGCCGTGACCGCGGAGTCATACCAATTATCGCGACGTGACCGCGGAGTCATACCGACGATCGCGCCGTGACCGTGAGTCATACCGACGATCGCGCCGTGGCCGTGAGTCATACCGACGATCGCGCCGTGACCGTGATTCATACCGACGATCGCGCCGTGACCGTGAGTCATACCGACGATCGCGCCGTGACCGTGAGTCATACCGCGAGTCACAAGTTTCTATAGGTACCTGAAAAATTGTTACCCATTTTTTGGTTTTATAGATCAGTGCCACAAACGGTAAAGATTGATTTCGTATGCCTTTTTTGGTAACTGCAATACTTGATAACTACAAGGGGGACTTTCTTTTTATGCACAGAAAAAAATCCCGTCCCGTCCCGAAAATCGGGAAGGAAATAAAAATCCCGTCCCGTCCCGTCCCGAACTAAAAATTCAATCCCGTCCATCCCTACTATCTTCTATCAACACCAATCCTTAAAATTACATTTACTGGAAAACACATTCAGATTCACATTCACAGATAGACTAGGCCAACTAGAAGGGGGAAATACAAAGATGATTAAGTTTATACTACAGTAGACTCCCTCTTATCCAGACACCTTTTAACTGGACATCGGTTTAACCGGACTACACTCGGCAGAAATTACATCTCTTTAACCGGACAATTTTTATCAGCACATTGGTTTAACCGGACTAGATCGGCAGGAAGTGGGCGATACTGAAACGACTATTCCTGTGGGAAAGAATTGAGACCAGTGATCAGGTGTTTAAATACAATGCTCTCCTAAATTTAAGTTGAATATCACAGTAAACGGTCTGTTTTAACGAGTTTTTGGGGACGTCAGTTCAACCGGAAAAACTGTTGTCCAGACTGGCCTCGGTCCCGAGGAGTCCGGATAAGAGGGAGTCTACTGTACAGCAAAAAAATTTGGTAACATAGCATGCATTTTATAAGTTTATTCATACAATCTAAATGTTCATTGCATGCAAGTAGGTTGGTCAGAGTAAGACAAAAACATAAAATTAACAAAACATCATCAAAGCTTGAACAAGTTAGTGTTAATTGTTGTACACACTTGGGAATATTTTATCACTTTACCAACAGCTAAAACCCCATGAGAATGAAAAGTTTAAGTTAGTTTTTGCCATTAATGACGAGTCTTCAACAAACAAATAACTCAATTTAAACTCAACGATTTAACTTACGTCATTTGACTCCCAGGAATGCTGAAATGAAAACATATTACTCAAGACCACAAAATACAATGACATATTATTCGGCACTGTACAATGTTTAAAACAGTTATGACTATGACGTTTTTGAAAGGAAAAGAAAGACTTGAAAATTGAAATCAAATTAACAGTTATGATTCTATAGAAAATCTTTGGCATAATGAATTTAGAATGAGCAATAGGGAAAATGAATCAGGTGATGGGGGTTTTAACTGAAGGAGAAAGTGTTGCATGAAAGACCACAATATCAGTAACCTTGTTTATTGGTATGATACAATAACTGTTAACTATTTAGTAGGCCTATCAATTATTGTTGGAAGTTGTCGGAAAACCACTTGTTAACTTAATCAAACACTCACATAGTTAACAATTAGTAAAAAAAATTATGAAAGACTTGTATAGGCTACTCAATTTTGATTCAGGCTTAAAATGTAGATTAAAAAGCGATTTGTTAGATGCTTGAAAGCTGTAAACAAGTTTTTTAAATATTGCATTATTTAATTAGAAATCAAGCAAGCGTTGTTAGAGATTTGATTTCAAGTGATGAATACTAACTTACCCTTCACGCTTGATGGATTTTGTGATGTCATCAACTTTCTTCTTAGTCTCAACAAATATGATCGCCTTAAACCCGACCTCTCGACCAAGTTCGTGCAGCAACTGAGACAACCTTGTTTCCTTCTCAGTGTCCTAAGAGCAAAAAAGATATTTTATTTGCATAGATAAAAAAAATTTGTAGAAATTTTTGTAGATCACTTTGCAGCTAAAATTTAACACTAATACCGAAATCCTACCCAGGCTGACGCTAACCGAACCCCCGGTCTATATGGGGGGTCATTACACCCCATTTGAAAATAATGGATCCCGCTTAGACACACACAAACCAAAACCCTTGGCCTGTGAGACCCCACTTTAAAATACACTAGCTCTGGGCTTCTGAGACTGGTATGTTATGAAAAGACAACCTGTCAAGGTCACGGCACCCACGCAAAATGAACAAACAATATATCAACAGGTAGGGGAGGAAAAGGGAGGAAGGTTCCTTGCCAACATGCGTTTGTGAAAATTTTCGCCGGCCTGTCAGACTGGGGTTTCGGTAAAAGTGTCAAAGTGCTTAGTTCCCAAGGTGAGACATTTGAGGTTCACAATCCACTAATTGGTGTTTTCAAGAAGAAATAAAAGAACCTGTCTCATTACAATGACTAGTTAAGTAAGCCATAAAATCAAAACAAATACAATAGACCTGTCACATACCTGGCAGACCTCGACGATTTGGCGGATGTTGTGGTTAGCTGCTAGTTCCAGAGATCCTATGTTGATCTGGATGTAGTCATGGAGGAAGTCTTCTGCCAGAGCCTGCACTTCCTTGGGCCAGGTCGCTGACCACATCAGAACTTGCCTGTCAGGCTGTGGAAAACCACCATACATCCATCAAGACGTTTAAATATAATCATGTGGTAACTATTGTGACAACTAAATATCTTTTCCATATTGATGGATGTTAGCCACCGGATTACTGTATAATACTTAAAGTGGGTTAAATACCTGCATTTAAGTAAACAACGAATTGGATTACTTAAATGCAGGTATTTAAACCACTTTAAATATTTTTTACACAATAAGATATAACATAAATTATTTGGCAAACAATTTGTTGGCATTTTGTATACTATAACTGACAACTGATAGGACTATTTAGAATATTTCTTACAATAAAAATCTCACAGAAAAGTAAACTGATATATTACCCTGATCTGTTCAATAATCTTGCGTATCTGAGGTTCAAAGCCCATGTCCAGCATCCTGTCAGCCTCGTCCAAAACCAGGTAAGTGCATCGCTTCAGGTTGGTGGTGCCTCGCTCCAAAAAGTCAATCAATCTTCCAGGAGTAGCGATCACAATTTCAATTCCTCTCTCTAAATCACGGGCTTGGGGTCCTTTAGGGGCGCCGCCAAAAATGCAGGTGTTTCTGATCATCGATGTCTGGCCAAAGTCTTGAGCCACGCTCTGGATTTGTTGAGCCAATTCTCGGGTCGGGGCGAGGATCAGTACGATCGGGCCGTCCCCTCTGTTGAGCTTGTTCTGGTTCTTGATGTGAACTGCGGCAGGCAGCATGTACGCTAGTGTCTTGCCGGAGCCAGTTTGAGCGATGCCGACCATGTCTCGGCCGCTGAGTGCAATCGGCCACCCCTGAGCCTGGATGGCTGTAGGCTCGTTGAAACCCTGCTTGATTATCTGCTGCATCATATAATCAGGGAAGTTACCCTCCTGGAAGCCCTGAGTCGGGTGAGGTATGTTGGTCCCCTTTACTGTAATCTCCTTTGCCGCTCTGTACATGTCAACTTCTTCCTCACTCCTGCAACACAAGTTATTAAAGGATAACCTCAATTGTAGAGTTGTGTAAAGGATCAGTCTGAAAGCATGATGATGAAAAAAGTCCAACTATACATAATTTACAGCATAACAATAAAGGGATTACAACTTAATATATTCAATAGCAAATTACAGAAAAAAGGGGATACTGTCCACAAAATTGTTATGTCCCTAACAGTTTCAACAAAATTCTTTATTATTGTATAACATACACAAAATTAAATGAATAATAAGCCTATACAACACTTAAAAATGTACCACCCTACTACTCCTACTGACTAAAAGAATCTCCCATAAAGCGTAGACTACCTGTCCCCTCAAAAAAAAAAAAAAAAAAAAAAAAAAAAAAAAAATCCTCTGAATTTCTCAACATATTTTTCTACATTCATAATACATAATTTTCTACAAATTTAATACTAGAAAACACCTTTAAGATTATAAAATGCTCTAAGACTACTACTGTTATGATCAAACTGTACCTGTTAGCAACATTTTCATGAGGAACGTAGAAATTCTTTTGGAAAGGCATAAGAGCGTTCATGTCCCAATGAGGTTTCTTTAAGCTTTCACCGGGCTGTTTTCCGTTCTTGTTTTGCTTGTTAAATGTGTTTCCCCCGTTCCCAAAGTCTGCCATTGCTGTGGGTGAGTTGTGGTTAACCCAATACCGATTCTTTGGAGTAAACTGTTCGCCGTTCCCTCTGTACCTGGAAAAATGTTCAACTTGTTGGATATGTTTTGAGAAAAGGAAAATAATGATTAGGGATATTGATTAGGCTCAATGATTACGATTTAAAGAGCTTCTAAATACGTACATCGATATGGGGAAGTTTTGTAATAAATAGCTGGGTTAACTTGTTATTAAATTATTTAGAAGGTTTCACAAGATAAGTAAAATACCCCTGCCGCTGCAAACCTGCAGGCTAAGCGAATTAATTTCCATTTGCCTGAATTGATTTTATATTATTTTTTAAATAACAGTAGATTTTTGAAGTCCAAGTCCTTTGCCAGATTAACAAATATTATACATTGGCCAAGTCTTAACTAATATAATTACAGTACATCTATTATGAAATTTATTAAGTACTAAATACGCATATATATATTTGAATTTTCCGATGTCCTGTTCGACTTTCAAAGGGAGAGGGAGGTCATTAAAAAGTTTTACTGCATTGAAAAGGGAGTTGTTTTTTTTTAATATAAAGAAAGTGGTAGAGTGTCGAGGTACTGAAAGATTGAAATTGTTGCGGAGAGGATAACTATGGATACTTGGAGAGCTAAATGATGATTGGTTTTTCTTAGTAAATGATGTTTCTAAAATGTAAATAGAAGGGAAAGTTAGAACTTTATGTTATCTGAAGACTTCTTTGCAGGATTGGCGACGGTGAAGGGAAAAACAGTTCGGAGAGCCTTTTTTTTTTGAAGCTTGAATATGAACAGAGTCCTTTTGCTTTCACGCCCCCAGACAGGTACAGTAGATGTCAGATAAGGATAAACAAGTCCATAGTAGGCTGTCAAGAGAACCTCAGACGAAATGGTATGTTTAAGAGTCCGGAGCATGAAAATCCCTACAGATATCTTGTTTGAAACAAGATTGATATGTTTGTGAAATTTCAGAAGAGTTAGACCATGGAACTTTACATCTGGGGAGGGGCAAATAGTGGTATTATCAAGAAGAACGTGTATGTCAGTGTCAGTGGGTGTGCGATGCTGAGAAATGCTAAATTGAAGGAGTGTGGTTTTGTTGGCATTCAATATTAGTTGATTATCCTCACACCACTGAAGCTGTCTGTTGGATTCGAGAAATAAGGTCTGTTCTAAGGCCAGCATACTGGGATTTGAAATGGTGATAGAAGTGTCGTCGGCAAATAGTAGGGGTGTGCGAGTACTCGAAGCTTCGAGCTTTTTGGTCGAGCTTTTCATTATTCGGCTCGGCTCGAGACATTTTGAAAAAGCTCGAAGTTCGAGCCGAGCTTTTAATACCAAGTCAAAACGAAAAAAACACTTAATTTGGGTCATAATTGAAAACAATGTTATCACAATTCTACATTGTTCATGCATTCGAGGTTTGATAAGCACGAACCTCAGATCAGTCAAGACGCAATGATTATCGATCGTAATTTTGAGGAGATAGGAAAGAGACAAACTACCACCTATCGCGTTGTCTTTATAACACAGCTATTCGTATCGTAATCGTAATATACAACGCAGTGCGAGTGCGTGATTGGCTTGTCGCTATGACGACACACGGTTGCCGTGACAACCTACAGTGCGCACTGAGCACTGCGCCTTGTGTGGGAGGGGAGATTATACCAACAAACTATTTCAGGAATTCTATTTTGGGACGGATGAAAGATAAGGAAGAAACAAAAAGTGGTCACGTGTGCAAATGTAGTGGGCGACACAATAAGGCTGTAAACAGTATCGTCGTGCCGTTGTTCCTTGTTTGTTTACTTTTTTCAGATTCCTTATCAAACGCCCACTGCTATCTCTCTTTCTTTCTCTCTCTAACAATGTACTGATTAAACAGATTGTGGTTGACGACTTTAGTTATTTTTAGTTCAATCAATCCCATAACCTTTCTAATGTTTATCGAAATAATTAATTATCTGTTTTGTATTTTATTTCCTTTAAACCAACCCCTATTTACCATCTGTATTTTATAGAATAAAATGTTTGTTTATAAAGTTTGACTATGGCCACACAATTTTGTACCTATTTTATTTTGTATAAAGTAATAGTCACCTTGATGATTATATGTATCAATAAGTGGTGCAAGCTGTAATGAATGCTTTTTATTATCAAAATAAGTAATGAATTATTAATTTTTTATAATAATACATTGGTCATTGAATACCATAATGTGATGTAGTTTCCTATTTGTAACTTGCAAATAATAATAATCTAGTTAATCCTGGAAAATGAAAAATAGTGATCGCATTCATAAACCTTTTGTCAAAACAGCAACACGGGTGTAAGGGTTTATTGTTTCATAGGGGTACAAAGGACGTGTGTGTTTCAAGGACAAAGTGTTGGGCCTCCCGGTGTAGGGGGGAGGGGTGGTGGTGAGACTGCAAGAAGGGGAGGGAACTGGTTTTGGCTATTTATTGATTAGTTGCCGACCCTTCTAGATAACAAAATTGAGTATCTTGGTCTACAAATACTCTTTGTAAGGTAAGTTTTTTTCCCCCAAGTGAGTAAAAACTACCTTCCTATATAATGACATTTTCTCACTAATTATATAACTTCAAAATTTGAACTATGAAAAAGTCACCAAGTCTAGCTGAAAACATAATCATAAATGAGGATATTTTTGAAATACAGAATAACTAATCAAACAAAATGTTTAACACTTTCATTTCTCAACTTTTTTCCTTAAAAATGTCAACAGTTTTTCACTTATTTTTAATAAAGATTATCACTTATAATTGTTTTAAAGAAGTCCAGATGTGTGAACTTGAAGAGCAGACAAGAGACATACGTCACTGCCACAAAAACTCTTCTCTACTGTGAATGAATGAACTGTACTGTTTATTGTGTCTGTGTGAAGCCCCACCCACCGTCTAACGGGACAGGGGGAGGAAAAGAGAAAGTTTGGCAGAATTTGCCCTTGTTCTAAAGCCTCGTTCACATGCCCTCCCTCACCCGCTTGCAGATTTCCATTACACAAGAGTGTTAATTATTTTGAAATAATGTAAATGTTTGAATTTGACTATGATGAGATCTAATAAAGTTTCCTCTAATTTATAAATAGGCTTAACTTTTTAAGTTTTAATCTAAGTCATTTGTCAGTTTTTGTATTTCTTTTTAAAAGCAATTGCAGTTATACATTAAAAAAATTACAAACGTCTTGGCCTACAAATACATTTTGTAAGGAGAGTCTTTTCTCTAGTGAGTAAAAACGATCGCGGTCAAGGAATGAACTGTGCTAAAACAGCACATTGTCAATGTTTACAAAAGTATTTTACTGAAACCCTGGTATTTTTTAAAGACATTGCATAATAGCCTATGTCGACGTCTGTGGAGAAAAGTATGGCAATAGATAGGTTTTACTTTCAGCCTACAATATAGATTATGTTTTGGGACTAAAATCTCCAAAAGACCAAAAGAGTGCTTTTAACAAACATTTCATAGTTTTATTTAGTAACAAAAGTGTTTGACTATGTTCCCGATTATACCAAGAACAAGGTTCGGCAGGCAGAGTGGATTCACTGTGAACCGGCCTGCCTGGCCCTTATGCACGACGTCACTATAACCTCCGTGTAGGGGTGTCAACAATGGATCGGAACAATCAAAGTTTTGAACCTGTCTGTAACCTAGTTTTTTATACTTAAATACTCATTATTTATAAACAAACACGTCCTACATATCGGATCTCGAATCACGATATTTATCGATACCCTTTCCACCCACAATAAGCACATAAAACGATGTCAAAGCAATCGTCATTTGCTCCATTGAAACACGAAAGTCGATTGGCTGACATGGTAGTGCACTGACGCCTCCTGACCAATGAGAACTGTTGTTACATACTTTTATGGTCAACATTCACCAATCGTTTTAACATTACAAAATCGACACGGACTAAGGCTTATAATATTTTTCAATAAATACATTATGTTATAGTAGCACTTAAAACTTCACTAAACTTTTTAATCAGGTAGATAGTACATATCAAAATATGGATCTACTTTTTGGCGCAATATAAAGCAAGCCTAACCATACGACGATGTTAAAGTTTAATGGTTGAATATAATTTTTCTAATGATGCGTATAATGCAGGGATTATTGAACTGAAAATTTCGACGTTGTACTAAAAATAAAAATAAAAAATCTAAATGTCTGACTTATTGATACAGACATTGTTCAGGATAATTAATTTGTGTTGGCAGGACATTCGCGCGCCGGTTGTCTCTTGAGTTGAGTCTGACATCTTGAAATGTAGATTGTGTTGTGCAATGCAATGCTGAAGCTAAACAATGTCCCCGGCACCGTCGCTGTTTTGAACTAGATAGTTTCTAAGTTGGCTATGAAAATTGTTAACCGTGATGACAAAACTAATACTGTAGCTATACAGTAAATAAATGCTAAAATAAAATATTTATCCCTGTCGGATGTCGGTATCATCGGAATCGACTTTTGACAATCGAGTCTTGGTACCGATACCAATGTCCAAGTATCGGTGGTATCGATGACGATAATCGAATCATCTCTTTTTACTAGTAGAGCTGTATCGTGACGTAATCGATGCATCGGGATTTTGATGCATGCTGGATCAAATCGGGATTCGATGCATCGCACTCGCACACCTACACCACTGCCTATCACCCAGTCCCAGTGTCAGCTCAGCTGTCGGCGCTGTCGCTGTCAGTGAAATGGATGACGCAAGCGATGTCTAGGTTGCCGATTATTAGTAGGCCTAGTATGTCAATATTTAAAGGGGTTAAGGGATTAAATAAAACTCAAACATTTTCCTTTCTTACTATTTATTTGTCAAATATCATCAATGAAAATAACGAAATCGGCTTAACGTCTACTACTCAATTATTATGCACTTTTTTAAGAATAAAAAGTTTAATAATTTAGATAAGGTGACGCTAGAAAAGCTCGGCTCGAAAAAGCTCGAGCTCGAAAATTTTTTAAAAAGCTCGGCTCGGCTCGGCTCGAGGTTGAAAATCACTATTCGCACACCCCTAGCAAATAGGCA